CGGTGGGAGCGCCACCACACTCCCAAGTGGCGCACTGTAGCAGTGCGCCACCGGGCCGGCCAACAGTCCACTTTAATGTCACTCATACCTACGGCTGTTGGCACAGAACTGTAACTTTGGATCACGTCTGGAAATCCTGGGAGAGAGGACGTACTGGCTCAGAAGACTTTTGTGATCAACACCAGTGACCACAGGTTGTAGGCTTAGATGAAGCATTCTTCAGCCAAACTATTTGTTTGCTCAGCAAACATTTCCTCGGTGCTGACTGTGGGGCCACACAGTGGATGTGCGCAGAGCGTCCCTCAGGGAAGTGAAGGACAGACCTGCGTATTCCTGTGTCGGCACAAGGACAGAGGACGCTCAGGGAGCAAAGGCTGTGGGGCTGTGGGGCAGCATGGCAGGGGGACTGCAGGAGGTTCCAGGGAGAGTCCTTTCTGTGCGGTCCCCACTGCCATGGCAAACAGAGAGCATTCCACCAGGAAAGATCAGTAGAAAACTGCGGCATGCTCACAGATGCTTGGGTTTGGGGATACAGCTGAGGAGGACTAAGTGTGAGTCCCCAAGGCCTCACACCCCGAGGGAGCCTCGCTGGCTGTGCAGCCTCACTGTCCTTCACTGCTGTGTGGACCCGTCACCCCCACCTCCGTGCAGCCCACACAGGAACTGCTGGACACACATGTGTGCTCATAAAGGCACGTGGGAAGCTGCCTGGCTCACAGTGGTCGGAGTCCAGATGAAGAGAGGGCCAGGCCACGTGACGGGGCAGGTCTTCCTCTCACCCCCCAGCCAGCTTTCAGAGGGGGCAGACAGGATCTTGTTAAAGGTTGGGGTCTCGGGTCAGACACGTGGCCGTGTAAAGGTGAGAACTCTGCAGCGAAGGAGACATATCCATGTAAACAGCGTCCTCCCACCAACCCCTCCGTGGCTCCCAGCCCCATGGGTGGCACATGGAACTGGGGCTGCAATAGGACCCGCCTCTGCCTTGGCACCCGGAGCGCTCTCTGCTCTTCAGCCAGAATATGCTGCCGCACAGAGACAGGGGAGAGTCTGACCCAGTGCAGGGAAGAACACCATTGAGAAATTCCAGTGACTTGGACTGTGACATTCCCAGCTGGATCTTGAGGGAGTCAGGGTTTGGGACAGCACTGTAAGCTTCTGGCTGCTCTATCTTGGGAGGGAGTGGGCACAAATGTTTCACAAACATCCCTGTTAATCGTGTATCGAGGACCATCCAGAGGCGATGGGCTGAGTATGATGCAGAGCCACTGGCGGTGACATCGCTGAGAGGAGACGCCTGCGCTGGCACCTGCTTCTATTTCTCTGATAAGTGATCTTTCTGCAAACCACATTTCCTAGGTAGATAACGTAAACTTTGCTTTTAGAAATTTAAGTCCCAGGTATCCTTCAGTCAAAGCAACAATGGTGACTCGAATTAATTGCCCATTAGTTACAAACAAAGCCTGGGAAAGCCCCCTCCAGGGCCACGGTGGTGCTGCCATAGGAGAACTGCCTGGCTGAGGCGTCCTGCCCAGCTCCCTCCCACCAGGGCCAGGCACGTGGAGAGGCTCACGTGTTCCTGCTGGGGCTGCTACGACCCCACCCCGTTTCTACAGAGGATAACGACAATGGCGAGAAGACGATGACGACAGCAACACTAATGCTCACGAAGAGGCTCCTTTTGTGGAGGCCTCTGTCACTGCCTGGCGCACCGACGAGGGTTTTACAGGGTTACTGCATTTAATCCTTCCAATAACCCTTCCAATGACCCCAGCCTTGCAGGTGAGGGAAGAAGGCGGGTGGCGTGAAGGAACTGGCCCCAGGCCAGCAGAGCTGGAACAGGACTCCCCTCCAAAGCTCGTGCTGCCCCTGCCAGACCGGACTGCCCGCCCGTGGGCTACAAGAGCCATCCCACTGGGCGCAGCCCTCAGCTGCCCAGCAGAGCCTCAGCGAGGACAGACTTCCAGATGCCAACCCAGAGCCACAGAGCCTGAATCCCCAAGGAGGGCACTGGGCATCTCAGCCTGGACCGGCTCTCTGGGGGCTTCTGTGCCTGGCCTGAGGGCCACTGTTTGGCACCATGAGTCTAAGGCAGAGTTGGCTTCCACTCTGTACACCATGCTTGTCCAAACAATGCCACACCTGCCATCTCTGGGTCTGCAGTGAGGGGAACGAGCTTGTGTGTGGAGATTTCCCACTACGCATCTAAGCTGCTCATATTCATCAGAAGTGCTGGAACTGCGTGCTCCCGGGACGGCTGTTCTGATCATTCTGAGCATCCCTCCTGCAGGTGCAGGTGCAGGTAAGATCGCTTGCTGAGGATCTGGAGAACGTGCAGACCTGAGGCTCGGCGGGAGAGGTGGTCGGACACTCCCCTGCAGCAGGGCCACCCCTGAACCCAGGCGGTGAAGGGACTGTTAGAGGGGGTGGGGGTGGGGGCCCTCCTGGGGCTGAGGTGCAGCTCCCGTCTAGAGCAGGGGAATTGAGCCGCGGGCAAGCCAAAGGCTTCAAAGAGCCAACGGAACCTGTGCAGGGCGGCTGTGGGGCCCGGGGGTGCGGCAGCTGCAGAGAAGCCTCTGAC